GGGGGCGGGTTTGGTGCCTTTTGAAATATTTACTGCTGCTCTCGACTATGCTAATGTTAAAGTAAGTTCAAGGCTGATGCCAGTTTTGCTCTACAGAATAATACACCTTCGAAAGTCTTTGTCGTTCAGTTGGCAACCGAGACAATCGCGGGACTTTGAGATATCGCGCCAGCGCGATAACTCTTGTACGTGAGTGTACGGCCTAAGAAGTCGTTCGGTGCAGCGACCGATTGTCATGTACACGTATCCTACGGATAATTGTTTCCCGTAGAAACTAAATTGACGTTTCGTTAAATTAATTGCTCGTGGAAGGGACGAGTGATAAGGGTGGAAAAAAAATGATAAGAAAAGTTATACGCGAAAGGGACTTCTCACGCGGGACCAAATTCCTAAGAAAATATATGGATAGCGATTGGCGTTACCATAAAGCATTATGGGACTTTCTACGACGTCGTCGATCCTCCCGGACGAGTCTCGTTAACGTGCTTCTCTTTAAGGCTGTTTCCAAGCGTGGTATATTATACGCTTCGAGCTGCGATACTGGTATGCATAAAAGCAGGCCGCATATGTATATGCGTGATATACGATTATACGTGGATATATCTATGTGGGTGTCGGACGCATTTCCTGGACGCTCTAATTTTTTTTTTCCTTGTCGCCGATTGAAAATTAATAAAAGTCCTTTATCTTTTATGATAATTGTTACTGTTCCCGAGTGTAGGACGTGAATGATTTCTTTGAGCTTCTTCGTGGAAGTTGACCGTGTCTGTGTAGCGACTATCGCGTCAGGCAGTGATACGTCTGGACATATTCGGGTCGTAGGACGTGCTTAGAATGGATTTGCCAAGCCGCATCCGCAACGGCTCTTGTATTATAAGCAAATGTCGTATTCCGGCTGGCACGATTTCACGGAGTCCTTTTCACGATTAGAATTTAAACGCGAGCGGGATCACATGGCGAGCTCGAGTTCTTAGGTTTTTACTTTCGTCGAGGAGCAGGCCAATGTTACATAGGGATTCATTCGCAGATCGCGAAACGTTCCTCTTGTGTCACGATTATACAAGAATTTGTTGAATGGCTCTTTTTTTCTTCTTTTTTTTTTCACTCCTCTCCATTTAGCGATCCGTTACATGGCGCGGGCGAATAATATTGATATTATGACAACGATGGAATTTCAATGTCAACCTCAATTTCATTAGAAACGTAAAATCGACACCGTTCGAACGCGTGCCTATTTCCAATTGGATTGTCGCCCAAGTCTATTAATAATCTCAGCAAATCCACGATACATCCTATTGTCATAGAATCCTCAAGGCTAAGTGGGGGGTTCCAGTAAAAAATTGTTTTTTTTTTCGCCTCACTACAAATTTCAGTCGAGAAACTTGTTTCTCTAGAACATCGTAGAACAAACTTAGAGCAACTCGGAAGAAACAACGGAACCGGAATTTTCGAATTACGGGGGGCTAAACTTCCCAGACTTCGAACAGACTCCAATCGAGTTTTCATCTAGCGCTACAGGCGTCATAAAAATTCCGCTAATCTTATAGACGTTTATCCAGCTACTATCCTCCTTGCCGTTCTTACGACGCGTTCGCATTCATTCCGAATATTTATAAAGCATCGGCCAACAACTGCGACGCAAATACGAACAAAAGAAATTCCCCAACGACGTCAGGTACGCGTGCACCTATACTCCGTTACGTTCATCTCGCACCGAGTGTATTTCCGATACGGCCGAGCGGCTCGTATAACCCGTGTAGTTAGGGACGCGAGGGAGCACTGGTACAATAGATACACGTGTTTTACAAGCGTCGATGGGCGCGACGTGTCGCGCGCTAGAAATCATCCTTAATCGTTGAATATCAAAGTCGTTCCAAATTTACGAGTACGACTAGCACGTGATACCGTCTGGCTCCGACTTTCACGGGACTGGCCCACTACACTGTGTGAAAATAATATTCATCTTTCGATTACCTACGCACGGATGAGTATTAAGAAAATATACGGAATTCTCGATTCATTGTGTTGAAATATTTTTCTTCTCCGTGCATTCCTTGCAGTCGTCGCGAGGAAGGTTGAGGACGCGGCTGAATCCTCAATGCCGGCTTTGCGCATCTTTTCTCGCCGGCAGATCCTTTCTAACATATTTCCGGCTAATTGGACGTATAATTGGTATGCGCATTGTGCGACGTCTCGTGTCTACGGCTTGTCGCTCCTTTTGCGAATTCTTTAAAGCGGCCAGTGCTGTTCTCCTTCGTTGACATTTAAATCAGGAGATGCACCGTAGCGGGGAATCTAATGACGGAATTTTGAGGAACGCAAAGAAAGGCTTTCGTCGTCGCGTGTCATAATCATAATCATGGCAATTTGTTTAACGAATTGCCATGCGCCTATACCGCCGTAATAAGAGTATTTCTAATACCCTTTTCTTTGATGTCTCTTTGCAGGAGCCAGTCCAAGGCTTCCTATTTGGCGTACAGGAGGGAGCGCGGGGCGCCTGACAGCGAAGGAAGCTACAAGCGCACCATGTCTCCTACCGCCAGACTGGACGACTGGCCGCCACCTCGCGACAGGGACGATCCTGTGCTGCTTAGGGTGACCCCTCATCATCCTCATCCACTCCATCATCCGGAACTGCCGAAATCGCACAGTGTGGATGCACTTCATCACAGGCTGGAGGAGAGGACCGCTCATTCCGTCGAAGTGATCAGCAAGCTGTCCCATGATCTCAACAAGAAGCTGCAGGCTAGCGAAGTGCGCAGGGGCGAGAATAACAATCTCGAGGAGCGACGGGACTCTGGACCAGGGGACGTCGAGAGGAAGGAGAGACTGTCGCTTCAGAGCGTCGAGGTCCTGAACGACCGGAACAGACAGTTGGAAAGGGAACGAAGAAAATTGGCTGCCAGCTGCGAGCCCTCTGCCGGACAGAAGAGACTCTTGGAAAGGGAGAGTCTTCTTGCCGGCGAGGATTTCTATAGAGAGAGGACCTCGACTATTGAGATGACCTCGCAGAACGTGGAGATGTTGAACAGACGCAACGTCACTCAGGTGGAGAGAAGAGTTCAGGAGGTAAGGGTCGAGAATGGCAGATTGCAGGGTGAAATTAACGTGGACACCAGGCCACCACCCGTTATCGAGAAGCCTCCGCCACCTACGACCTCACCGCCGAGAACACCTGAACCAGAGAGACGAGAGAGTCCTGTCACGAAGACCGGAGCCGTTCCACGTAGATCCGGCAGCTGTTCGAGCTCTTCGTCGGGAAGATCAACGGAGCTTAGAACTTCTCCTAGCACTCTACCGACAAGGTCGTCCCCGAGGTCATCTCCGCTGAACTCACCAACGAGAACTGACCCCAGACTTCCCGAAGGAAGTAATCCCATCGAGCTTATAAGTATCTCCTCCAGGAGGAAGGTCTCCGGTCTGACTCAGACTGACACCAGCTCCCTGGATAGGATGAGTTCATCAGGAAGCTCCTCACCTACGTATACTAAATCAAGTCAAACCTCAGAAAGTGAAATCTCCACCAAGAAATTTGAGGCTACGTTCTCCAGAACGAGCAGGACTTCCATCTCCCCAGTCTCCACGATCTCAAAGTCTTCATCATCCCCAAGAACGACCCCCGTAGATCCTATCCTGATAGAAGACAAGTCGACGACCACGTCGCCCTGCGTCTCGCCGCAACCTGGAATCGAGGGTCTCACCCTGGTTCAAAGAACGGAGGTCGTGCTGCGTGTAAACGCAGCCACGAGCGACGCGGCGTCCCAGACCGAGGTACTGTCCGAGGAGAACGCTCTTAAGAAGAAAACCACACCAGATCCAACACCAGAACCAAGAAAGAAGCTTCCAGAAGAAATCGAATGTGAGGAGCTCAGCCGGGATCTTGCCAGTCAGTTAAATCCCAATGACAAACTCGTGTCGATTCTCGGTGAGCAAATATCTTTTCTCTATTTATTTGCGTCTTTGTTGGTACGACTGCTCGTACTTTTTATCACTCTTTCGAGAACTGTTTCACACCAAAGAGATTTCGAGCCGGGTAAAAGACTTCCACCGTGAACAGTGACGCAAGACGGGCCGGGCCGGGCCGTCTCAGCCGGAGTCGTTCCTTCTTTCGTTACGCGTGCTTTTCAATGAGCCACGTGTCGCTCTTGCAGAAATCCTCCATCGACTCTGTGCAATTTACCAATAGGACTGTTAACACTAGGACGGGCCGTTTGACTCGAGTCAACTCGTGACGACTTTTCAAAATGCAAACGAAAAACAAAATTACTTTTAGAAACTGGAACGCCTTCATCGGTATCTGGCGACTGCGACCTGTCTCTGTACACGGCGAATGCAGGCCGACACTAAAGTCACTTAAAGGCGTATTCGGGGACTGCGATGAAAGTGTAATTTTGCAAAGGTAGTCGGGTCTAAGCACTGGGTAGACAAAGAGAAAACGAACCAATTGGTAATTATGCACGAGTGATTCGTCGTTACGGCGTAATCGTTGAACTGTGGTAAAATATCACTTGACGAAACGCATCGGTACAAGCGAGACCTTGCTTTCGTGAAAACAAAAACCAAAGAAACTTCATACCTGGCACTCTTTTTTACGATGCTAAAAAAAGAATCTCATCAGCTTCCCTCACGAGCTGCCCGGTCAAAGGTCGAAGTTGCGAAAGGTCGATCGGCGTGTAATCGAATGCTACTTACGACTCCGATCGCATGAACCGTAGCTGATTGAGAATACCCGAGGAAAGATGGTGAATTTACAATCCGCGATCGTCGGCTTCCCTAGCAGGATGTCGTTTCCATTGACGAGAAGGAGAAGCGACTTAGAGAGCCGGCATGACGCAGGTTAATTAAACGGCTGCTAATCAATTGGAAAGAGACCGGATTCGCGCAGAGTCAATTGGCTCTTTCGATCGGGCGGGACGGTTCGAGGAGAAATTTCACGTGAGCAAAAAAGCAGGACTCGGGAACCTGGTGAAAATCGAACGCCGGGAGAGAAGGACGACGAGGGGGATTCGTGAAACGATTTCACGCCGGGATACTCGAATGACTGACGGGATCATTAATTTCTTTCGATCCTCCGAGTTTTATGCGAATCGTTATTTTGATTGATTCCCATTATCGTTCCAAATCGGACGTTCTCGTAGCTCCTCCGGTATTCTCTGAGTTCACCCCACTTCACGTTATACCTCTACGTTTCACCCCATGATCACCCCATAAGGCTAATTGGGATTACGGACTCCTCGGCTGGACTTCTGTTGGCTTCTTCACGGCCCGCATAACACGTTGGCTCTGTGCGCAGCCGGTTGCATGTACGGAGCCGCATGTGCGTTGGGAATTGATCGCGCGCCGGAGCGACGACCCTTTATTTTAATAAACGCTAACCTAATCAACGGCAGACTCTGTTATTCAATTAAGTGTCCTTATCCGTCGACCTCGCGACTGTGTCTCTCTATAACGTTCCTAATGGAATATACAAAATAAATAAATTTTCATTTTCTTCTTCTTTTCTCCCAATAGTTCCGGTACCGGAGCACAGGAGACCTACGGACTACGTTTCCGGTTTGTTCAGGGTGGAAGCGACGATACAGCCACGACCGACAACACGTCTGTCCTTGGACGATTCGTCGATCTCGATCACGGAAAGTTCAATGGAAGAGGAGAAAAAGTGAGTTTTCTTTTAATTAACCAAAACCATCGATTCTCATTGTGACGTCACTCGAGTCCTGAAAAGTAATTGACTCGTAAGCGCAAATACATTTAATCAGCGTATATATTACCGATCGAGAACGGAACACGGAATTCGTTGAGGAGGTCGAAGGTCACACGGGTAGTTCCAAGGAACTCTCCCAGCTCGGCACACCCTAAAGCCCCATAACAATGCGTACCTTACTCCTGTGTCCACCCACAGTATCGCAAGCATCGTGATAACCTTGCGATTCCTTGCGCGGGACCGTTCGCCGAAGGAGGAGGTCGACCTTCGTTTCGATTCGTTCTCTGGAACCTGGTATATCCTTCTCCTTTATTTCCTTTCTTTCTCTTCGACGTATTCTTCACGGTTTTCCTACGTCTTCCCATCCTGAAATAGTAACCTCATTCTCAGGTTATTATTACACCGAACTCATCCGTGATCGAAGACGATCGGGCCTCTTTCACGGGATAAATTAGACGCATGGAATATCGCGTGCACTTTTTTTGGGTCGCTCGCACGAAAATTCATGAAAACGCTCGTCGCTCGCAGTCTCTTTATTCGGTATATACACATTTGGCATGTTGGATGTGCGTGATTCGAGTTAATCGATGGGACGACGGAACGTCACATGGTACAACGGACACGTGCGCGTAAAATATCGCGTGCGTGTAAACAGCCCAAGTACCACCTTCTCCAGGAGTGACGCATACCACGCACACACATGCTCTTCCCCTACCACGCATTAACGCTCACCGATTTTATACGGCAATTTAATTGTCTCTTTAGAGAATATTACCGTACGGACGCCCATATACGCGAGCAGCAAGTTCGAACGGAAGGACGATCGATTTAAAGAGCAAAAAGCTCCTACGAAAAATTAACGTTGATTATTGACCTCTCGAATTTCTGTCTTTCAACTTCAACGTTGATCACCGTCTCTCTGTATTACATTTAACCGTTACTATTTTCCCCTGCGGTTTTTCGTCCATTGTATCGGTGCAACGGCTGCGGTTTTTATAGGATCGCAGAAACCGAGCGTTGCTTTTCCACGGAGCTGGGGATAACATAAACGCCGCTTAATCGTCACGGGACAATAGCTGCTCCGCCGTGGCTAAGGAGAAAGTGCAGGAGGCAGGGCGCGTTGCGCAACACGGCCATAAATGATATTGTCAGGTCTACTTCTCTCGGGCATTATTTATAAACGCACTAGGACCGGCTAGAGGGGATATACGAATTATCCTCAGTCTACGTACGACCATTCATGCCACTCACACGGAGCACAAAGCGACTGCCGAGTTAATGTTTTTTTGGCGGATTTTCAAAACGCGATATATCGATTTCGCAATGCATCGACGTCGGGACGCCCTTGCTACCAGTGTCGTCATCACTCTCGATCACGTTTCCCCTCCGGCTTGTTGATTCACGCGTGACTCATTGTCCATTTGTATATTGACATTAAGCTTATTTACAACGGACCACGAAATCCTCCGCGAGGACGTACGTCCAGGATGGCACGTGATCATTTGGTGAAACGTGATAAAAATTTTTCTAGGATCGAAACAGCCTCCATACCCTCGACGCCTACGACGCCCTCCGTCGCCGATCCTGGTAGTCCTCTGTCGCCGACATCGGCGTACTTCACCACCTCCGAGGGCAAGGCGCGTTTTCTCACGAGATATTCGCGCGACGTGTCCGAGGAGCCTGTGGCCAATGGTACCGATGAGACTGGCGTCGCGACGCCCGTCCTGGTTACGGATAGCTTGGATCTCAAGCAGAAGAAGGTATGACCTGTAAAATTTGTCTTTGCATCCTTTTCTTTCATGGGAAGTTTTTCGAGGCTTCTTTTCTATTTCAGGAGGAGCTGATGGTTAGGCTGGACAAGAAGCTGGTGGTCCTTAGGGCGGAACAGGAAGCCGTCAGGGAGGAGGGCGACGTCAATGAGGCGCTGGGCGCCCGAGTCGCCACTCGCGTCACCGCCGTTGCGCGTCCGGCCGAAGCTTCCAAGTACAGGCTGCACGTTGAGGAAATCGGCAAGATCACTAGTCTTCTTTTGGGTCTCAGCGGAAGACTCGCTCGGGCTGAGAATGCTCTCTATGGGATGCCAGCTGATCATGCTGAGAGGGTAAGAAGACCGTTTTTTTCTTGAGGTTTAGTCACTTGCACGATTACAGGTTAGGAATCTTGTCCTGGCATAGTTATTGCGCTGTGGTTTAAACGTGATATATTTTTGACAGAAAATTCTGGAAAGCAAACGCGACAAGCTGATCGATCAGCTGGAGGAGGCGAAGATCCTAAAGAGCAACATCGACAAACGTAGCGTGAACGTCTCGGCAATCCTGGCGAAATACCTGAACGACGAGGAGTTCGCGGACTATCAACACTTTATCAACATGAAGGCGAAGCTGATAATGGACGGTCGTGAAATTCAGGACAAGGTGAAGCTCGGCGAGGAGCAGTTGGCAGCTCTGAAAGAAGCGATCGACTAGTCTGTAAAGATATATTTAAAAAAAGAACTGCTAGAACGCGAACTCCAAAAGTATTAATAATCAAGAGGAACGTCGCTCGATCTCTTGGTCGTATCTGTTTTACGGTGCATTTAAAGATCTAAATCCATAAGTGAACGAGATGAACCTTAATGAAGAGGAGCATACAGATTATTCAAAGAAATTACCAAGAGCGTCGTCATCTGGGCGAACCGCGTGCACGAACTTTAATTACTCGATTTTAATGGTAACTGCCGTGGTACTCGGTGTCGTTCAGATATACACGAATTGTACCTACGTTTTATTAGCATATAAGACAGTCAAGTTTCGCATTTATCGTTAATGGAAGATGCTGTAATCTTGTCCTGTGATTCCCAGAAGAAAATTTGAGTGACTAGTCCTTTGGGGTTGCGTCGTCCTTAGTACAGCTATAGCCCGGTGAGCCATTGGATTTGATTATGCACATTCCGAATTGCGATGTTTATCTGTCACATTCGAATTACTCGTACGAGGCCATGACCTTACGTCAGATTTAGTCGACGTGTGTTGTACCGATGGATCTTTGTCAGGAGTAGTACATGATTTTTAATGAGATGAAAATCCGAAGAGGCAGCACCCTTTCGCAAGAGATTTGAACACGTCACCGGACGGTAGATCTCGCCGATGTAAATAAATGATGAATAAGAGGATGCAAATATATATACCTATATATATATATATTTTATATACGCGTGAGAAGTATAATGAAAGATTGCAAAATTTCAGCGAAATTTGTATTATTTTATATTATTGTTGCGATCCAGTGAAGTTTTTCTTATTTGTTCACTCGTATATATACATATATTTGTCGAAGATCATTTTGTCACGCGCAATTTGGATATCGATAAAAAAATAGATCAAAGTATGGCGAATGACTACGATTCATCCAGGTGTACGCCGATCATTTCGTAATTTTCGTCTAGTACGTAGAGTAAAATTTATTTATTATTCACTGGGTAAAAGAGTGGACCTAAGATAACGTGTGCTTAATGAAAAGTTGATTGAAAATGGTACGATTTATAAATGTCTTCTTTAAAGAATCAAAGAAAATCAAAATTCTAATATATTACACACGCGAGTACATATGTATTACACACGCGCACTCATTATCTTTCTAATTATGTGTACTTGTTATATATACATTTTGCTTCGGATATCTTTTGTAAAACTGTGTTTATGGTGTTAAAAGGACGTGAGTCCCGAGGGTTAAGATTTGGGCCAAGTCTCTTGACGCACTGCGTTATTGCGCGTGTGACTTCCGGTGCAATAATTATCTCTGTACAGGACGAAATTCAGGATGGATCCTCGATAACGAAGTGACAGGATCAACCTGGATTATTCGGAAAACTCTTTATAATTATTGTCCCTTTTCTCAAAATTTTGCCAGTAGTCCTTTGTGGTCTATTTAGTGTCCATATTTCAATTTTTTTTTTTTTTTTTTTTTTTTTGTAACATGGCGGCTCGCGAAAGGGATTATATTTTTCAAGGGTAACAGCCTTATGAGGAAAGGACAAGAGGACGAGTCCAAGGCGTCATCGCGTCGCGACGCTTGGCGTCGAGTGCGACTCACGCCTTGCCTTTAAAATCGTGGTGCCCTCTTGCGTACACGTGTGATATGAGGATAAGGTAATAAGGAAGTTCGGTCTTTATTTTTCATAAAATATCCATTCGTTATGAAACGATTTAATTTTTTTTTTTTTTTTTTTTTTTTGTAACATGGCGGCTCGCGAAAGGGATTATATTTTTCAAGGGTAACAGCCTTATGAGGAAAGGACAAGAGGACGAGTCCAAGGCGTCATCGCGTCGCGACGCTTGGCGTCGAGTGCGACTCACGCCTTGCCTTTAAAATCGTGGTGCCCTCTTGCGTACACGTGTGATATGAGGATAAGGTAATAAGGAAGTTCGGTCTTTATTTTTCATAAAATATCCATTCGTTATGAAACGACGTATATAATGGCCGGACTGTCATAATCTGTATATAATTAGAGTTAAGTCGTTAATTGCAGACGCAAACATACGAACGCATACAACGAGGCATATTTTACGTTTTGTTATAACGCCACATCCCACGTACCCTGTCCTCTTGGGGTCCTAATGGACCCCAATGATGCTTGTGATCTTAATTACTTCTTATAATTAAGCCGCGATCTTACACGATTATATAGGATCTTGTAAGATCGTCGGTTATCCCCACGAAATTTTATGCCTTAAGTCATTCTCCGCGAGGATTCCTTTCATAACGTATTTTGAAGTTTTCTTTATCAATTTTTGTCTTTTGCTCGAGTTTTACCATAAATATCCGAATAGCGAGCGTTCTCTGTTTCGTTCTTTAGTCAATTTAATTCGCCTCGATTCTTGGTACACGCATTATTCGCAATTGTAAAATTGATATTCGGCAACGAATGCGGTTCTCTTCATGCGTTTTACTTGTGAAGACGGAGACAAAATTTTTCGTAACCCTCGAGGCATCGGGATCCTCCGGTTTTCTTGAATTCAGTAATGAGACATTTACTGTAATCTCAAGAATCGCGTGACGGAATCCACGTTTTGTATTCATATTATCTCTTTCACTAATTCATATCGAAATTCATGTCGTCGAAAATTCTCATATACTTTCCGATTCTTCAAAATTCTTCGCCCGTCCGCTTCTCGCGTCACGTTTTCATGACAGATTTTATAACGGTTTTTTTTTCAATGAATTAAAAATGAAGTAAAGCACGGCAAAAGGCAACGCAATGCAGTGAGCTTTGCAAAACGGCGAGAACGGACGGCAGCGAGGATTTCGCGCGCGACGACTAAGACTGAGCATAGGGCATAAAATTTTCCGTAAAATAGTCAGTTTTTGTTCCTCGTTTCGATGTTTGTAAATCCACGCGCGTTTCGATTGACGAACGGCGTCTCGTCGAGGGCCGTGCTTACAAGCAGCGAACGGTCAGATAGTTCGATTTCGATAGAGCTAAGCGGCTAGAATTGTACATAACGGATTACACGAAATATGGTGCTCTGGATTTATTTTTTACATCAAAAATATTCCAATAATTCGTAGGATTATCGATGATAAGGACAATTAATATTTAACACATCGTCGACGGTCCCTATCATCTTTTTTGCATTGAGATCCTTGGTATATAATAAAATGAAAGAAAATGAAGACTTTCCCCATGAAATACCCACAACCTTCTGCGCATGTCTGTACATATATATAAAGATACATATAATATGTGTTTACGCGATGTCAACCTTTAACATTATAATTCTGTCGTCGCTCGGGCGACAATAGATTGTTGTAGTGTGACAATATTATCATTACGATGTATTATGAAACATACGATAGCTACCTTCTCGAGCTCGCTTACAATAAATAACATGTTGAAAATTAAGACACGGTGTTTTTCCTTCTGTCAAGTCGATTTCCCGTTTGTTGATTTAGAAATTTAAAAAATGTTTACAAAGTTTTGATCAAATTGTTGGGGAAGGGCGAACTTTTGATTTAATCGGGGACTTGGAACTAAAAGAAATGTCAGTTCGATTACGGTCTGCACAGTGACACAAGCTTGAATTTCGGTTTTGGGGTTTTGATTCGTATAAAAAGTTCTCGCTCGTGTAGTTCTTGCGTTGCTCTCGCGATATCCTGGAAATTCTGGGGATTTTCTGTGAGTGTTTCGGAAGTGCAGTGCTGTGCTCCAGTGTAGTGCCCATCTGAGTGTCTCCTGGATGCAGTTCTCGGCCTTCGTGGATCGGCTGCACCAGCTCCGGTGAGTCTCCCAATTTATTAATTGGTGAAGGGATTTCGATTTGATACTTCCGATTCGTCCGCGACCCGTTGCTCTCTATATCTCGCACTATTTGCCTGACGCTTACTCCGAGCCTCTCTATCTCGACCCACCAGCCCGAGTGGTTATGCATTTCCGTAACCGTCCGCTCCCCTTCGTGCATCCAATTGCGTTTGCTGATTTTACGCGACCCCAAAAATCGACAGGATCCGTTAAGTTATCATCTCTTTTGATAGGTTCCGTCAGAGCTCTCGTTTTGGTGGAGTTGGGCCTGTTCCACCCCAACTCCCAGGTCATACCGGCTCGTCAGTTCCCTGTGAAAAAAGAATTGGCTGGCGCCCGCCTGGCTTGCGAATACATGAGCGAAGGGTGGACGGCCGAAGATAACGTAGGTTAGTTCTCGGATTTTTCGTTATCGGTGTAGAGTTAAGAGAATACGTCACAAGTTATATTAATGATTAAATGGTCGATAAATCAGAATTAGGTATAAGAAGCAGTAGAAATATAATCGAGTAGCGAAGACTTTAAAGGAAATTTTGAAAATACCCATTAAAATGATGGTCTACTGCTAGATCATGTGATAAGCAAATATGTAGTGACTTATGTACTTTGCATTGATAATATGATGCTAAGACTTTTTGTTAGAGGAATTCACAGCACTCGTGTACTTGGTATAGTTTTTTTACACATGTTTTTTGGGGGTCTATATAAACTCGACGAATCAAAAACGTGAGCATGGTTCAACAGTCCTCCGCACAGGTCGCGCGTCGACGTCAAAATGAAATTGGTTTCAAGAAAATCGGCCTACTGGGAATCTCCCTACTCGTCTCTGCCATTACGAATAAAATAAGTTCCGGTTAAAAGTTTCGCTTTCGGTATACCACTGGTAGCAATTTCAGGTTTCTCTCACGGCTTTAGGTATAACGTTTATGAAATTTCGGTCTCAGTTACGGTTACGGTCTCTGAATTTAATATAGCAATATCAGCAAATTCCCATTACACCGGAATACAATGAAGCCTCGCATTTATTCTACCTCGTCGACAGTTGGTCCTCCAGCGTCTGTATTACCTGCAGTTGCACTTGGAAAACTGCGTTGGTTGTATCCGGATGGTGCACCACCAGAACTTTCATGAAGTCTCATCATCACGGGAGCACATACCTATATTTAAAGATTTCCCAAATAAAATCTCCCAAGACGCAAGCTGAAATACTAAACATGAGACAGATCCTTGGAAAACTCATGCCTACAATATTCTGCAATGTATATGTTCCAAAACATATGATTTATGATCAACCGAAGCAATTTAGGCACGAGAACGAGATTTCTTTACCATCAGTAGATAAACTAAATTATTTCTTCATGCCGACAGTAGGTCCCGACACGGAGTTACCGACAGAGCAAAACATGTACTTAGTACGAGTTAATGATACCTTTTCCACTTCCTTAAGTTTCGCCTCAAACTCTTCCTTCTGAGCAAGTTGATTATCGTCCAGCCACTGAATAATTTCAGTACATTTCTCAACAACGAGCTTCCTGTCTGCTTCCGGTATCTTCTCCTTGATCTTCTCATCCTCAACAGTATTCTTGACATTGAAGCAGTACGACTCCAGGTTATTCTTAGTAACGATACGCTCCTTCTGTCTGTCATCTTCGACACGGTACTCCTCAGCATCTTTGATAATCCTCTCGATCTCCTTCTTACTCAATCTTCCTTTGTCATTGGTAATAGTGATCTTGTTTTCTCGGTTAGTGGATGGCTCGACCGCAGAGACATTCAGTATGCCGTTGGCGTCGATATCAAAGGTAACCTGGCGAGTGGAAGGGAACGAAATGCTGGATGGTTAAATCGGAAACGGTATCCCGTTCCGGATATAAGGTCACCAGGCTCCGGTAGTTAGACGCTGGTAAATCCTAACCTGGATTTGGGGCACGCCACGCGGCGCTGGCGGGATTCCTGCGAGCTCGAACTTCCCCAGGAGATTGTTGTCTTTGGTCATCGCTCTTTCACCTTCGTAGACCTGGATCAGGACGTTCGGCTGGTTGTCCGAGTAAGTCGTAAATGTTTTGGTCTCCTTCGTAGGTATAGTACTGTTGCGTTTTATAAGAGCCGTCATTACACCACCAGCAGTTTCGATTCCCAGTGACAAAGGAGTCACGTCCAGGAGCAGTAGATCCTGAACCGATTGGTCACCGTGCAAGATGGCGGCCTGAACGGCGGCACCGTAGGCTACAGCCTCGTCCGGGTTTATAGACTTGTTCACCTCCTTCCCGTCGAACAGCTCCTATATTAAAAACACTCGATCTGAGAGCAAGTCCCCAAGTGCAACAAATGAAAATCATTTGAGATCCAGCTAACTTGAAGGAGTCTTTGTATCTTGGGAATCCTAGTGGATCCACCGACTAATACGATATCATTAATGCGACTCTTGTCCATCTTAGCGTCCCTCAGCACCCTCTCTACCGGTTCCAAAGTATTTCTGAAGAGGTCCTGATTCAATTCCTCGAATCGTGCCCTCGTAATCGGAGTGTAAAAATCGATTCCATCCACCAGAGAATCTATCTCGATGTTTGCATGGGTAGAAGACGAGAGGCTCCTCTTTGCTCTCTCGCAGGCTGTCCTTAGCCGTCTAATGGCACGTTTATTGCCGGTCAGATCCTTGTTGTATTTCCTATAAAACTCCTGGACGAAGTGGCTCACCAATCGGCTATCAAAATCTTCACCACCCAGGTGAGTGTCGCCGGCAATGGCTTTTACCTTAAACCCGTAAAATCATGTAACGAATTCCCAACCTTCAGATCCACCGCAAGTTCAATTCTCTACCTCGAATACTCCCTTCTCGATGGTAAGAACGGATACGTCAAAGGTGCCGCCACCCAGATCGAAAATAAGGACGTTCCTCTCGCCCGGACCCCGCTTGTCCAGGCCGTAGGCTATGGCAGCTGCTGTGGGCTCGTTGATGATCCTGAGAACGTTTAATCCCGAAATCGTACCAGCATCCTTGGTGGCCTGCCGCTGAGAGTCATTGAAATAAGCCGGTACGGTGATCACGGTATTCGAGATTGTCTTTCCGAGGTAGGCCTCAGCTATTTCCCTCATTTTCGTCAATACCATGGATGAAATTTCTTCTGGGAAGAATGACTTTTTCTCTCCCTGCATTAAATTAGTCCTCATAGATCGATTAGCTATTTCATCCTACAGTTACCCGTTACCTTGTAGTCCACTTGGATCTTCGGTTTTCCAGCATCGCTGATCACCGCGAATGGCCACTGCTTCATATCAGCCTGTACCACAGGATCGTCGAATCTTCGTCCGATCAATCTCTTCGCGTCTACGTATAACGAATTTTGAGGAAAGTAAGTAAAAAAAGATTAAAAAAGTGCATTCCTTAATTAACACCTATCGCTGCTTCCAAGTGAGCTATCTATCGTAGAGATCTTGCGCTCCCATTAAAACTCGCCCGTTAAACGGTCGAGCTACTCGTAGTGGCTAGAATTTACTTTTATTGCACCCGGGGAGTTTCTAATGAAAATCAGAGAATTGGATGGTGTCCAAGGGAGCTACTACCCCCGTCCCACTCATTCCGTGATTAAACCTTTACCAAAGATCGTGTTGCTCGGGTTCATGGCAACTTGATTCTTGGCCGAGTCGCCGATCAGTCGTTCGTTATCCGTGAAAGCGACGTAACTGGGCGTCGTGCGATTTCCCTGGTCGTTTGCAATTATTTCAACCTTGCCATTAAGAAAAACTCCAACGCATGAGTAGGTAGTGCCAAGATCGATTCCCACGGCTGGTGTCGACATTTTTCAAAATTTCTCTAAAAATTCATAAATATTATTATGAAATATATATACGGTCAAAGAATCTTTATTTTTTTTTTTAAATCCCAATGATCCTGATATCGCGACCTAATCTTGCGATAACGCCATAAGAAGGCGTGCTAAGGCAAAGACGCTGGTTGTGTTTATACATCGCCAACGAGTACGTATAAACTTTCGCAATTACGATAAGGCAATGATTCCCTCGTTAATCTGCCGGCTAGCATTACCCAGAATGCACTTGGTGTCGTAGCTATCTGAAATTTTGCTTCTGCGGAAAAGCGTTCGATACCACGGACATATTTTAACAGCTAATAGAGTATCTGAGAAGAAGCGAGAGAGAGACAGAAAGAGAGAGTATCCCTATTGTATGGTTAGAGTATATAGGACAACGTACGTATGAGGTGCGGGTGGATGGGTGGATGCTGGAATCCTTAGAGCCGGAGATCTGCTTTAAATTCGCTTGGCGGACGTAAACTTTCGCCGGGTGAAAGAGCTGCGAGTAATTAATCTGCGTTAGAGTTCTTGTATATTTTGTTAAGAGTAACGGCAGAAGACGGGTGCCGTAACGCTTTTCGGAGATGGAAGCTGTTTACGCGATCTATACGTTTCCTTTTTGCCGTGGCTCAAATTCTCGATTTAGCTGTACGGAGGTAACCCGGCAAATGTGTTATCACTTTTTTCTTGTTTTTTTTTTCTTTAAAGGGATAAAAGAGAAGCAAAGAGAACTAACCAATCTGATCTGACTTTATCCAAAATTCTATTTTTTTTTCTATTTTTTTTTTCCTTACATCCTTCGTTTACGATCGTTTCTCAACGTACCCGTACGTAGTGGTTATTCTGCGAGATGCACTTGGAATTTTGCCATTCGTTAACGTTGCCCTGAAAAATTTATCAGGTTAAGACAGTTTGAATACGTAATGGCTGTTTGTATGTTTTGTCGCAGTCAAAATTTGGCAAGAGGCGACAGATCGATAAGTCGTCGATTCAAGGCACCAATCCATATCCAAGATCAGAAGTAAGGATAAAGTGTGCCCCGTGTGAAAATAATTTTCTTACCCGTTCAGAAGTAAAATTTTGTTCGAAAAATAAAAAAAAATAAAAGATGCCCGTCCACCGGGATTGTAATCGAGAGCTGGGAGCTCTCATAAATATGTCGTCGGGTTCGGTAAACAAGCGCGCATAAAATCGGCACGGGGCTCGTCCGAGCGGTGTATTGTGGTGGCCGCGGAGTTTCGTGTACGCGATCGCGGTCGCGTTGCGGTGGGATTTAAAGCTGGTAAATTTATCGTCCAAGAGGGTGGACAGAAAGGGTCCAGGAAAGGAGATCCGAAAACTGCAGTCTCCCGTATCCATGACTCCTTCCAATCTGGCCACAATTCAACAGTCGTCCTCCGCCTTTTGCTACGGTCGCCACGAGCTACTTGTTCCGAGTAGAGAGGGGTGGCCATGTTGGTAAAAGTCGAACTGATATTACCGCAAGTATAGGTAGTGGTAGTGGTTCCAGAAATACGACAAGTAACAGTAGTAGCAAGTGGAGATGCACTGGTATCCATCTACCGCGTCCCATGGTTTGTACTCTCATAGTTTTTTTTTTTAAATTCAACATAAGTACGTAGTAAGTATAGCGTCTACACACCATTTTTTGAGTTTTTCAAAAAAGTATCGTTTTCAACATTTTCCTATTAGTCCCATTCGAAAGAGTATAGTCTCAATAGTATCTGGAGTGAAATCGATGGAAGCAAGTTTCCCTCCAGCATCCTTTCTGAGGGACCATTCTTGATCGAGTATCGATTGATTATCGAAAATCTCTAACTGTGTTATATATTGGATTGTGCATAGCAGTGCATCCAAGATGATGGCCAATACGAATTTACATCTCTTTATGAACGTTCGAATTTTCAAATTGTGACGTCATTGAATTTTTTATACAGGGTTCGTCTTCCTTCTTCAAATTTTTCATTGATACTATCAGATATTATTTTTACCGAGATTCGCAGTATACTTGGCGATACTTTCGAAATGATACTATTAATAACAATAATAAAGAGGGTAAACGATTGAGGTATCATTTTCGCGTTGCTGTCCATGGCGAATAACCCCGTAAAGCGCAGACCGCACTCCACTTACTCTCTGTATATTGCTTTGGATGTGCAATAACTGTAAGCGTTTTGGGATTTATATCGTTTCATTCCTGTGTAACCAGCATATTGGCTGGACGAACGTTAAGCCCCGTGTCCGTCCCTACGTTACGGCACGTGACGTTATCTGATAAACTTATTTTTCATACAGCCCATGTTAAAACCGAGCGACCGGCGAACCGGATAATCGTGTATTTTTCACCGCTTCCATACCGCCCTCGCGCACCCTTGCCTTAATCTTTTGACGAAAAAAAGGGAGATATAAAAAAAAAAAAGAATAAAAAGACCGGGAACGAAGAGAAGCAGAAAAAAGCACAAGTCAAGAAAACCCCCCCCCCCCTGGGGATCACCCGTAATTTCCGGGGAACTCCTAACGTTGCTCCGGGCTGAATCTCGGCCTGACACGATCTCCGATCTCTATCAGTATTGTGGAAGAGATAACGGAGGAAGGAAAAATGTCTAAGGATACCGCAAGCCTTGAGCTCTCGACAGGATGCGGTATCCCTGCATCCCGTACCGACGGCACGAAGTCCGTTACGTAATTTCGTCGATGGCGAAGACGAGATAGAGAGACACCGATTTATATTAACGATATACTCGGAAAAGAGAATCTACCGTAGAATGTACTGTGTGACGTAGTAAAATACTTTTAATTAAATCAACCGTATTTATTCGTAGTTACTCCATATTCATGGTACAAGACACCAATAATTTATTCATACGCGCGTTACGTTCAATCTGGTAGCTCAATGAAATAGTTGAAGGAAAAAACAATTTTAATAAACGAAACAATGAAAATTCAATATTTGACAATGGAATTATACTATTAATTACTGCAGTATAGCATTAATAATATGTTCAATTTCGTAACGTTTGTTACGATCGACATTGACTTACGATATAGTATTCTTATTATATTCAACGCTATATGCAGTAACTGTTAAAATCATATCTGTGGTAGGAAGAACGTTGGTAGATAAGAGGAAAAGATATAAGAAAAAGGGAAGTAAATTCAAACCGACTATAGAAAAGAATTCCCTCATAAATATGCCGTCCGTCACGTCTACTTCAGTTTTCACCCAGAATCGAAGGATCCTCGTTGTAAATTGTCCGTGATAATTCTTTTTTTTTCTGGCACGACGGTGAAATGGAGAAATAAAAAAAAGATATGGGAATGGGCGAAAACTCGAAAGACATCGTGCATGGGTCTTCCCGAATGGTTCCTTCGTAGAATCGACTTTCGTTCTTCCAGCCCCTATATTTCTTGCTATGCTCTTCGCATACGCCACTCTCATATGGTATGCATGAAAACGACTTATTCGTCAATGAAATGATCGGTGTCCCCGTGCGAAGGTCTGCCGTGCGTTATATTCCCGTGGAAGTTCATGGAGTCGTGGTAAGGGAGTCCAAAGGTACGTACATCGCCGCGCGTGTTATTTGAGTTATTTCACACATGGCCACCGATCGATAACCATCGCATTGCATTCAAGTAGGAAAAATCCCCCTTCGTCTCTGAACTCTTTCCCGTTTCGCGTATCCAGGTAGGCGATACCCACCTAGTAGGATGTCTAACCTTATACCAGTGGCAGTTACATTCCGCGAATCTATAGTCGTTCCACGAGTTCAATATTTTTTTGACAGTTCGAAAGCAATGCAATCCTCAGTAAATTGCACGTGACTTTTCTAAAAGATCACGAAAATTTATGCCGATAGAAAAATGTTTCAGTATAATATCACTAGCATATCATGTAAAAAAAAAAAAACTATATGGAGCCACGTGTGATTTCTTAATGATTGCACTGTACGCGACCTGTCAAAAAAACACATGGTACTCGCATACGGACCATAGGTATGACCATGGTGTAAACACTGTGGCGCAAAGCCGCTTTGACACGTGCGCGTTTACGGTCGTATAGTTGGTTTGAAAAAAATGTGAAGAATTTTCGTGGGGGTACGTAACGATAAACGCCAACCCTCACGGAAGGTAATTTAGGGGTGTCGAGGGAGCCAGAGGGGAGCTGGCAAAAAATAATCGCTGGCGTGAGAAGCTTGGTTGAGAGTTTGTTAAGGTTGGATGGTCTATAGGTATAATGCAGGTCTGTCGGTGACATTATTAGGTTGGTAGCTAGTACGAGGGTGTTGAAGAATTCCGAATTAAATTACCAGTAAATATTTGTCTCTATTGCGCGAGAAGCCGTCGCGACTCGTGCGGTAGATTAAAATCAAATGTTTTGTATGAAAACAATCGTGTCTTTCGCGTTACAGGAGCTTCGCATACTTTCAGGCTGATCCCAGCTACTTGAACGTAGGTACAAGATGGCAAGATCACGCGGGTAGATTCCGTAAGAGATTTTCTCGAAAAATTTTGGTCTTTACTCTGCCTCCGGAATCCGACGTTGTACCATAATACACCAATAAAAATGCAGAGTGGTCCTCGCCAAGGTGCAGCACTGCAGACCCGTCTACGTTACCCACCTACGTCGACGTAAAGGCGAACGGAATACGCGCTCGAGATCGAGCCGGCTGAGCATTCAGATTGAATGTGCATCTCCGGGAAATGCTGAGAGGCAACCGGCACTCGCTGATTCTCGCCGGGAAATAAACATCCGGAATACCTGAATTGCACGTGGTGCGAGCTCAATCGTATTTTGTGAATTTTAGACGCGGGATTTTGGGTCAGGACGATTTACCCAAAAAAACGATTTAAGCTACGTTTTCAATGAGCGACCGTTTAAACTTTTTGTCACAATACGTACAAATGTCAAACGACTGTTTAACATCTTTAACCTTGTTCCGAAGCAATTTCACGGTGTAATTTTTCTTTTCCTTACGTACCGGGAAACGATGATTCAGGTAAGCGACTAAAGCAAAGATTGTCTTAGGGCCGAAGACTGCAGTGAAATTTAAAAGAGGATCTGAGGACGTACCTTGTTGTATGAGTAAAGGTAAAAAAAAATGTATAAATGAAAACATGCTATTAAAGCCGTATCCCCATGGCGCTGCAGACCAGACGCATTTATTCGCAATGCAAAAATGTCCCCGTCGAGCGGCGATATTATAAACGGAAGAGAATGCAGTTAATATTACGTCGGAGAGCGCGGCGGCTGCAGGACGCCGTTATTTGCGATGCATATAAATGCATCGGAAACGGCCGCATAGTTGCATGAATCATAGCAATTATCGTTTATGCCGTTTCCCTACGGCATGCGGCAACCTGCTGGAATCTGTTGAAACGGCCTCACTTTTATTCACTCCGAGCGGATTCTGTGCACCTCTCATAAAATACCATTGAAAATCGTAAGATCAATTCAAATACTCTTACCAGTCGTAAGGGCTTCCACTTACGTAATCTCAGTATCCGCACTCAGTACGTTCATTACGCTCGGCAATTGTTTCATCACGCTCGTCCGCGATGACGTACGAGAGGAAGTATTTTTGAAAAATTACAAAACGAAGGAAAAAAATCTTTTATAAAATCCTAATTAAATTTTATCTACACTCGAATATCCTTCCCATATAGAATTTTCTATATGTACGTATGTGGGTTTGCCGAAAAATTACGGACAATATCTCGCACTTGGAAATGTTTTTATCCGTTATCAGACTCACTCCGCATATTTGTACCAAGTAAAATCAAGTTCTTCGGTATATCCTCGCGTACTCATATGTTCATGTATGCGTACCTGGTGAAACGTTTGTTCAGATTTAACACGTGACGTACGACGTAGACTCGCAATAGACACAGTCAGAGAGCCTCGTCGCGAACCGTGATTCATATACTTGTCGCGCCGGTTGATGCTATTTCCCATAACGGGCGAATTCCGTCGCGCTATCCTGCCGTTCTAAACACATCTCCTCGCAGCGACTTCCACTGTAATCTTGGTATTGTTAGTCAGCTGAATGTCAATGCGTAATAGCGTAAAAGACTCATACCAGGATGCGTCTGTATGATAACGAGGGTAAATAAAAAAATTGATGAATAATCGAGAGAAAAAAGATGAAGTATCATTAGCATAAAGTGTAATTATAA